ATTTCCATATATTGTTATCTTGCTATGTAAAAATTACAAAAGTAGGTTAATTAATAATGATTTAAATTTTAATCAACAATAATATTTAAATATTCCAATTATACGATTAAAATATTTATTAACAATTTTAATATATAAATAATCTAAATATATAGTTGTTTTTTTTCTAAAAATAACTTAAAGTTCTCAAAGCATAATTTTGTTTCAAAAAAAATATTATTTACATTGTTGCTGCAACAAAGTCAAATTCTTCTTGATCTGTGATGCTAAGTAATTGAGCCTGATTACTTGAAAAATGAATTATTTTAATTTAATTAATAAAAAAAAGTATAATTATTCAATTAACTATTCAACTAAGCCGGTAGAAGTGCCAAGTATGGCGTTTTAAGCATGGTTCGAATACTGTCTGTCCGAAACTCAATGACCATCATACCGGTATGATGCGGTGCTTGCGCGTGCATACATAATGTGCAAGTGTGTTTTCTGGCACGAAGGTTTAATTGTAACTTATAAGTTCATAATAGCATTTAAAAAAATTAAAAATATATAACAATCGTTAACATGCGCAGAAAAAATTTTCACAACCTCACACAAGTGGAATTAGCAACATGCCAAGATGCTGACAATGAAAATTCTCCATAGCAGTAGTTTGAGTAATACAACCAATTCTCTGGACAATCTGAAGTTTTACATTGAAATAAAAAAATAACTACATTCATTTAACTTTTGATTTTCGGTATTAGTTGAAACAAATTTTAAATTGTGATTATATGCAGTACAAACTTCATCACATTCACTGTTTAAATCACTTAATGTTATTATAATTATTATTATACAAAAATATAATAATGCCAAATTTATTTATGTAAATGTTTTAATAAGATCTAAAAAATGTACTGGCTGAATAGTAGTTAGTGTTGATTTGTCGTTTTCTCCTCGCAACGTTACCTTGTGCGTTGGTAGAACTTCCGTCATTACTTGATCCTCTGTTACCATTGGAGCCTTTTAACAAATTAACGTTTTAATTGAAATAAAATTGAAATAATCATATTTTAAATATGAAATATCTTCAAATCATACCTACTAATAAGTTTGAAGATAAAAATATAATTAGTTGAAAGAAAATTGGAAAGAAGGAAAATTGTTGCAACGAACTTGTGTTCCGTTGGCCATCTAGGGCAGATTTTTTGACAGGATTCATGTTGCAGATGGTCACTGATGGAAAGTTCAGTGCATCGTTCCTAGTGATGCTCAGTGTTACTTGCTTCGGCCGATCCATGTAGCGTTGTGTCAGTTCGTATATGTTGAAAACCATTCCAGATGTCATCAACAGTATTGTCAAACCCCAAAACATTTTTTTGAATTTTCCTTTTAGAATTTCATTAGTTTGTTATAGCTTTAAATACGTGAAATTTTACAAATAATATCTTATATGTACGTATTTATTATAAAATAATTTAAAGTTCTGCTGCAAAATGTTAAGTTCGATTAACTTTTTAATTTATGAATCATTTGAGCTAAAAGTATACAAGTATTTAACTGCGGATTAATATTTTCATTGTAGTGTTCATTTATAAAATATGAAAATCTAAAATGTGATAAACCGTGCTTTGTAAGATGTATTTATTTAAGAACGAAGTGATAAATACCATTTGCGCGAGCATAATTAGGAATTCCATGGGCAGTGGTGTTGAGGTTGGCCGTCATGAAGTCATTAAAGACCATCATTCGGTATGGACCTTGTTCATCGATCGTTTCACTCATGAACTGGTAGTAGTTGGAAAAACTTCCCAAACCACTTGGTAAATTTGGTTTTGTAGAGGATTTTGTTGGTGAGAATTGTTTCTTAATTTCATTCTTCATGAAAGACTTGCTAGGAAACTCCATAAAAACTTGGTTAGTTTTATCATGTTGATTGTATTGCTGTGGATATAGAAAGTCAGGTCTTGGTGTGGGTTTTTGAATATGCTGAACTGGATAGGAAGGGTGAGGTTTCACTGGCTCCTCCATTTCTGTGTCAGAAAACGATAGATCGAATTTTTCCATTAAGGTTATTAATAAATAATTATCTATAATAAAACAGAGGTGATATTAATATTTTGCTCCGTTTCGAGGAAAATCACGAGTAAATTTTCCATCGTGTGCTTATTAGCAATGCTTTCACATTCTTTCCAAATAATATTTTTTTATTTTAAAATTATCGCACTGTTATCTAGAAAGCTTTAGCTGTTATATAGGAAATTTATATATACATACAAACATATAGTGTAATTATATCTCTGTGTGTCTGTATTAAGTGACCCACCTACAATCCTGATCTTTATGTTGTGATACGACTTATTGATCAGCCGAGAACTAATGCATCGGTTATGAATGCGTACAAAATAATTCTCAGGAATTCTAAGGGAGAGTATTTGTTATCGACGATGATTCGATATTTTTATTCACTGTCATTCAATCAATGGCGACATGTGCACTTGCAACATCACTTTTAAATTGCATGATAAGCGTGTTATTTTCCTTTTTTGGTGATTAATTTTCTATATTTCTGCTGAATATTAATTTTTATAAAGTTTTGTATTGATTCACTGTTAGAATAAACAGGAAATTTCAAGGAATGACATTTTTTAACTTCAAAGTAAAGTATTTTGCTTAATATTTGTTTTTAACCAGCAAGTTTTATGTGAGACGACAAATATTTGTTGACATATCTATCATTTATTGTGTCTTAACATACATAAGTTTTTTTTACCTAATCTAATGTTTTCCAGGTTGAAAAGTTCAAATAATGCAAATACGCGGGATTTTGTAGAATGTTATCATTTGTGAACTTTTTCCCTTTTTCAACATAATTAATATATGAAATTTTAAAATGTTTCATCAAACACAAAAGAGTTGATTCAATTTACTTTTTTATAGAAAATTTATATATAAATTCAAACATATAGTATAATTATATCTCTGTGTGTCTGTATTAAGTGACCCACCTACAATCCTGATCTTTATGTTGTGATACGACTTATTGATCAGCCGAGAACTAATCCATCGGTTATGAATGCGTGCAAAATAATTCTCAGGAATTCTAAGGGAGAGTATTTGTTATCGACGATGATTCGATATTTTTATTCACTGTCATTCAATCAATGGCGACATGTGCACTTGCAACATCACTTTTAAATTGCATGATAAGCGTGTTATTTTCCTTTTTTGGTGATTAATTTTCTATATTTCTGCTGAATATTAATTTTTATAAAGTTTTGTATTGATTCACTGTTAGAATATACAGGAAATTTCAAGGAATGACATTTTTTAACTTCAAAGTAAAGTATTTTGCTTAATATTTGTTTTTAACCAGCAAGTTTTATGTGAGACGACAAATATTTGTTGACATATCTATCATTTATTGTGTCTTAACATACATAAGTTTTTTTTACCTAATCTAATGTTTTCCAGGTTGAAAAGTTCAAATAATGCAAATACGCGGGATTTTGTAGAATGTTATCATTTGTGAACTTTTTCCCTTTTTCAACATAATTAATATATGAAATTTTAAAATGTTCCATCAAACACAAAAGAGTTGATTCAATTTACTTTTTTTGTACACAAACGGAAAATATTGAAAATAGAAAAAACAATAACGTCTGATAGGAGTTCGAAATATTCGAAGAACGTCATCATAGCGAATCCGAACCACAAACCAGTAACTCCACACAAGTCGGAGAGATACTGGACCAACTGACAAGATAATTTGGTGAGCAAAATAAATTAAACAATCTCAGCCTCATAAAACAGTAACCATACTTCATAAGCGGGTCCTTCATCCAGCTCATGAACGTGAAAGTCGGAAAAGTATATGACCACTCTCAGCAGGTTGTCTGTCACTACTTCATCTTGCGTCAGGTTATACATTTGGGCGATTTTAGCCTGTTTAACGAAAATTAAAACTAGTTTGTAATTTTGAAGTTGACAACAACAATGAACAATTTATATATTAATATTACAAAGTTAATTGAAACCTGCTCGCTTTTCATCGGCCAGTCCAAATACGAGGAAAAACTGTCAAAGATCACGTCACTGTAACAATGTTAATTTTGATTATATTTTTTACAAAAAATTTTGATATTATTGATAGAAATTTTCTAACTTGCATCGTTCAGGGCAATCACATGTCAGTGACTTATTCATAAATTTCATTTTTATTGCATACCTACATTCGTCTGGAAATGATTCGAGAAACATGTTCGTTTGTAAAAAAATTGTATGAAGTAAACACAAACTTTTGCAGCAAGTCAACAAATAATTAGTTTGATATGATAATAATATAACAGTGATATGTTGTGATTAAATTTTATCCACTCAACCTTGTTCGAAGTTCCCAGACTGACACAAGCTCATGTTGTCGGCGTTGATATTCTCCATTAAGGCAGTTATATTAAGATAACTGAAATCTATGCATCCACACTCGTGCATAATTTTTTTTTGATAGCACGTGTACTCACAACCCTGGTTACGTAATCATTTGCACATCGCCATCATTTTTGGCGCCAAAAGTTTGTATTTATTAAAATTAATAATTTTTTAGTATTAAATTGTTATCAATAGAAAGTTTTTGAAAAAAAGATAATGGATAAAAATCACTTTGGCCCGATATTGAACGTTGTAGAATGCGGAATATGCACTGGTGAATGGGTCAAACAACTGTTCGGTGCAGCTGCCGTAAGGAGAGCCCAACCGATTTATCTCGTGCTTAGAGTTATCAATTTGATTGATCCATTTATTCATTAATAAATACAATCTTTAAGATTTTTAAAATAACCAGAGTCCCATGTCCTTCTTCTAATGAACGGGCTCAAATTTTAAAAGAATTTAATGTATACTACCCGTTGTAAACTGATGTAAGTTAATTGTCCAGGGCCAACTGAGACTCCCTCGTCTTCAGGAAACGGCATCTGATTCTGGTCGAGGATGACGACACGGATCCCTGCCAGACTTCCTGCTTGCTTCACGTAATCCATCTGATCGATATTCACAACCATCTCCAAACCTTTTGATGTTTCATATTAAATTGCTACAACTCTACCAATGTTTTTTCCGTATTTTTCATCAATTTTTATTCAATTTTTCAATAATAAATTTTCCAACCGTTTTTTGGACCTTCCCTGGTGGCCGTCACTATTTGTTTGGAATCGTTCCAACCAGAGTTATAAACATAACAGTTCCCGTGTAAGGGGTTGTAGAAACTTTCAAAATCACTGCTCACAAATTGTTTGAAGTATAATTGTAATACAAATAATGTCAACATTTTATTAATCCAAATATTAATCTTTTGAGTAAGAAAATTTTAATAATTTTAAAACAAATTGGATTGTTTTTTGCGGCACTAAGTTTGGCAAAATCAGTATTATTATTAGTTAATAATAAAATTGATTTTGGCACAGCATTTGTTTCTAATTTTAGATTTTTTAATGGCTTTAAAATAAATGTTGCCTTTGAACAAAGTGATGCCAATAATGATTTTTGGTTTTAGAAAAAAATCTTAGTCGAGATCATTAACAAAATTAAAATTAATATTGATAGATCTTGTAAAAATTTATTGTTATCCGTGGTCTAACATGGAACATTGATCGAATGTTGAGATAATTATAAAATTTCTAATTTGAAAACGTTTTCAATTTTACTCTCATTAATGTCTATTTATTTCAACAACTGAGACAAGACATGAACGAAAAGTTCATCGATTAGCACAAAAGAACGAGGTATTAGTACAAATCTCTCGTTCATATCAATATCGATCGTTCCGAAGAATGGACTATTGAAAGCCCTTCAATGTGGCAAAAGATCATATTACGAGTTAACTAAAATAACAATGCATTTCTGCCGTTTGAAACTGGTGCGTGTTTGTGTGTGCATATAAAATATATTTTGAATGACTATGGATAAAATGTATGGTGTTGATATTCAGTATAAATATAAAAAATTTTCTCAAAACAAATAAATTAACAAAGACATGCAAGAATAAGACCACTGAAAAATGATTCAACTGCAACTGACTTGGATAAATCACACCGTTCCCCCATGTATGTGCAGTAGTTTATCAAGTCACTCACACTGTACCCATAAGATTTCTGCTCAGAAGTCGACAGTGTAGCAATTCTTTCGAAGAATTGTTCTTGCTTCTGAAAATTATCGCTAAGAGTCGTCCTGTTGAACTGACTGCCGTTGATTATCGTTGGCGGTTCGAAATTTGTAGAGATGGATGGGTTGACGACAGAGCTGAGCTGTCTATAGGCCATATTTTTTGCTGAGTCCATGTTGCTCTTGCTGCTAGACCGACAATGTTGTGCGTCGTAATTGTTATTCGCTAGACAACATGTACAGCAACACATGAGATCAACTGGTCTCATTGTCGTTGCTAATGCAGTTGTTGACTGAGACGTAGTTGTTGTTATTAATGTTGTTATTGTTGTTGGTTTTATAGTTGATGTTGTAAAAGTATAAACCGAACTAGTTGTAGTAGTAGTATTAGTGGTAGTGGTAGTAATAGTTGTAGTGGTGGTAGTGGTGGTGGTAGTTGCAATAGTAATAGTAATGGTAATTGTAGTAGTAGTTGTAGTTGTAGTAGTAGTTGTTGTAGTAGTTGTTGTAGTAGATGTGCTTGTAGTTGTTGTGCTGGTATTAATAGTAGTTGTGGTTGTAGTTAAAACTGTTGTAGTTGAAGTTAATGCTGTTATTGTTGTTGATGTTGTAATGGTTGGTGTAGTTGTAGTAGTTATGGTAGTTGTTGTAGTTGTGGTGCTTGTCTTGATAGTTGTGGTGGTTGTAGTGATTGTGATTGTAGTGGTCGTAGATTTAGTAGTTATGGTTGTTGGGGTTGTTGTAGTTGTTGTGGTAGTTGTGGTTGTAGTTGTAGTGGTGGTCGAGGTTGTTGTTTTAATTGGTGTTGCTATAGTTGTATATTCTGTTGTTAAGACTGGTTGGGCTAAATTTGGTTCAGGATTTAGTTAAATATGTTTAAGAACATTACAGGCAGATGCACGAAACATACACTAACCTTTTCGTTTGCAGACAAAATCGAAGTTGACATCACATGGTCTGTCGAAGTAGGCCATGAACACGATTTCGAGTCGGAAGCACCTGGTTTTCTCATTCATTGAGTCTGCCATGTACACGCGGAATGGCGAGTCGTTACCTGTTTGGAAGCAGCACATTTCATTGCAAGGTGAATAAACTAATTTGTGTAAATAAATAACATTAAATAAAAAATGTTACATTACTTGTGAACTGAAATTGTTAAAAAGATTAATATTTTTCAAAATTATTGAAATCATTTTGTTCGATGCTAATGATTGAAAGATAACCCACCGTCAGTATAATATGTAGAACTATTTATAACATCGCCACCTGTTTTTAACAAACCTAGCCAAATAGAATCAAACAAAATACTTTTCATTCTGGAAAAAAAAATAAAAATTTTTTTTTTAGTTTTAGCTATTCATTTTTTGATAAAATAGAAAAATCTTCAAGTTCTTTTCATCAAGATTATGTTGTTTAAATTTAACTTTAACTTTTAATTAAAAATATTGAGCAATTACATTGCATTTTCAACGAAGTCAAATTCTGCTTGATCCGTGATGCTGAGTAACTGAGCCTGATTACTTTGAAATGAAATTTCTTAATTTAACTAGCGAAGAGAAGTTATATCCTTAAATTAAAATAACCATTTCATGATCAATTACATGCACACAGTGACGGATGTAAGCAACATAGAGGGAGGTGAAAATTTTAAAAATTTTGAAATTTGACGGGAGGGCCAAGAGACCCAAAAAATAACCAAATGTTCACAAATTTGGCTGGTCGTGGCCCCTCTAGATCTACCACTATACGCACAAAATTTTTGCAACCTCACACAGGTGGAATTAGCATCCTGCCAAGTTACAGACGGTTGAAATGCTCCATAGCAGTAGTTTGAATAATACAACCATTTTGGAGGACAGCCTGAAATCACACGTTGAAATAAATGTACAACGAAGATTTTTTTACTGGCTATTCACGCTAGTTCACAATTTGAAAGGAATACTTTCACTTTCAATTGCGACACAACTACCATCAGAGTTTTAGTTTCTCATATGATACTTTTTTCCATTTACGTAACATCCAATTAACAAATTATATAAACTGAATTAATTCTATTGTAATAACCTACTAAAATAATTTGCATTTACGACGGATTGACTTCTTTCTTAAACTTACTGTGATGGTATGAAGTATAAACATCATCACAATTTTGAATCACTCACTGTTATTACAACTATTAAACAAAAATATAATAATGCCAAATTAATGTTCTTAGTTATGTAAATGTTTCAATAACATCAAAATTTACTGGCTGAATAGTAGTTAGTGTTGATTTGTCGTTTTCTTCTCGAAACATCATTTTGTGCGTTCTTAGAACTTCCGTTACTACCAGGTCCATCGTTACCATTTGAGTCTTTTACCAATTGAAAATTTTAAAATTAAAATAATGGTTAATCCTACTTTTATTTAATAATTTAATTAAAATATAACAATAAATTTGAAGAAGAAAAAAGAAGGGTTAAGAAAATTGGAAAGAAGGAAAATTGTTGCAACGAACATTTGTTCTGTTGTCCTTCCAGGGCAGATTTTTTGACAGGATTCATGTTGCAGATGGTCACTGATGGAAAGTTCAGTGCATCGTTCCTAGTGATGCTCAGTGTTACTTGCTTCGGCCGATCCATGTAGCGTTGTGTCAGTTCGTATATGTTGAAAACCATTCCAGATGTCATCAACAGTATTGTCAAACCCCAAAACATTTTTTTGAATTTTCCTTTTAGAATTTCATTAGTTTGTTATAGCTTTAAATACGTGAAATTTTACAAATAATATCTTATATGTACGTATTTATTATAAAATAATTTAAAGTTCTGTTGCAAAATGTTAAGTTCGATTAACTTTTTAATTTATGAATCATTTGAGCTAAAAGTATACAAGTATTTAACTGCGGATTAATATTTTCATTGTAGTGTTCATTTATAAAATATGAAAATCTAAAATGTGATAAACCGTGCTTTGTAAGATGTATTTATTTAAGAACGAAGTGATAAATACCATTTGCGCGAGCATAATTAGGAATTCCATGGGCAGTGGTGTTGAGGTTGGCCGTCATGAAGTCATTAAAGACCATCATTCGGTATGGACCTTGTTCATCGATCGTTTCACTCATGAACTGGTAGTAGTTGGAAAAACTTCCCAAACCACTTGGTAAATTTGGTTTTGTAGAGGATTTTGTTGGTGAGAATTGTTTCTTAATTTCATTCTTCATGAAAGACTTGCTAGGAAACTCCATAAAAACTTGGTTAGTTTTATCATGTTGATTGTATTGCTGTGGATATAGAAAGTCAGGTCTTGGTGTGGGTTTTTGAATATGCTGAACTGGATAGGAAGGGTGAGGTTTCACTGGCTCCTCCATTTCTGTGTCAGAAAACGATAGATCGAATTCTTCCATTTTCGTTGTTAAAATTAATCAAAACAAAACAAAACGCAGTTCTATTTACAATATTCTGCTGTTGCAAGATAAAATTCGTGTAAATTCTTCTTCATCCATTTGTCAGCATTGCTTTCACATTATATATATTTCGTTTATTTTAACCGTATCGCGCTGTTACGTAAAAGGTGGAAATCTTTCTAATATACGTAAGTACAAACTTATACATAAACAAATAAAATATTCATATACATGTATAAGTATAATTATATCTGTGTGTGCATGTATGAACCGTCCCCACATAGTACATATATTCTTATTATAATTAGTAGCGCAATTTTGTGACAGGATTTATTGATCAGACGAGGACTAATGCATAGGTTAGGATATTTGTGCGCAGAATGATTCGAAGAACAATGGCAATGCTAGGGAGGATGACAATAAAGAGAAAGCCTGCCGCACGAAACCGCTACAAAAAAGGACGATATCACGAAAGCCTAACGATGACTCCCAGATTATTTATCGACATTGCGTCAGTATTTTTATTCAGAATCAATCAATCAATCAATGACAGCATGTACACTATCAACACTATTTTAAAATTGCATGATCCTTGTATATTTTTTCATTTCGTGGTGGCTAGTTTCTCAAATTTCTACTGAAAATCTACAGACTATTAATTTACAGACGTGCCTCATGTTGAGAGTGAGCAAAGTCATTTGCTTAATAAATGGTTTTTATCAGCAAAATTTTTCTTAGACAACAAATATCTGTTGATGTATCTATCGCTCATTATGTCTAAACGTATGTAAGGCCTAAGCAGTCAATGTTATGAACAAAGAGAATTGTACCGGCCTGAACCAATTGAATAGAAAGAATGCACTGAAAACACGTTCCATGTGTCAACTGAACAATGACAATATTGCTAATTGAAACAGATTTTCAGCCTTAGGTGTGTCATTTATCGAATCGAATTAAGTTACTTTCTTGTTTTCTTTGTCGGCTTAGAACTCGAACCACTTCATATTACAAATTTTTAGCAAGTTAAAAGTTGAATGTTAAAAGTTTATAAAAGTTCACTGTTAAATGTTCATAGTAGTATCTTATATTTTAAAATTAGATGTTCTTTTTCATTTTACAAAGTTTGGTTGAAACAAGAACTATTAACGATTTTCTCTATTTTGTATTCGCACATTTTATCAGTAATCATTTCAACTTTAAATTATGAGTAATTTTTTACGGAAATTGAATATGTCGCTTACAAAATATTTTGTCGGCTTACACAATTAAATATTTATAGTTATTTAAGGTTCTTTCATTATGCAAAAGCACTTTATTTCATGATTTATTTTTTCTAATTATAATACACTTCAATAAACTTTCATATTCCAATTTTCAATACAACGGCAAACATAATATGTTTTATGCTTTTTATATTTAAATTAATGATAATTTAAACAAACCAATTTTGATAAATTACATTTTTTTTAAATTTTACAATAATTCGCATAAATAACTGATTTTCCAAGAAAGAGCAACTGCAAACTACTTCCATAAATCAGGCGAACGTGGATGTGAACATCGAATGTTCCACAAATTCATCTACCCGCCACCAGCCGCCGATATAAATAACCCACTCAATGAAAAGCATTCAATGAAGCAGCCATAAATATGTTGCCAAAGTGTCAGTTAATTATTGCTCGATGGCACGAAAGTCTTTTATATCGGAGCGTGGACGTGTATATTTTTACACTGGTTAGTTGTATTGTTAGATGGCAAACATGTTCATAAATTATTGATAATAATAAGACAACGTGGAAGCAGAACAAACTCTGAAATTCTCGAATAGAAACTTTTTCTTCCTCAGAATAAACACAATTACGCAACTTAATAAAACTACTTAACATGTCTGTGCTTAAAAATGCAAGAAATGAATTCTTTCCGTAGCGGACCCACAATTCCAGTAGGGTCTCAATTGGGTCCATGAGTGTCATCAAATAAAAAAAAAACAGAGCAGACGCTAGACGGTTCAGGCATGTTTAATGAACGCAAAACCGACCGATCATGAGCGTATCTGAGTAAATGAATGTCTAAAAGATAGCATAGAGTCAAAAAATATGGGCTCATTTTAATGAGACTCAAACTCAGAGCTGGTCGGATTATAATTTGTTCAAGTGTTTTATTTTTTTATTAATTTGCTTAATAAATGTAACTATTATTGTTAAAAACCTTAAAAAGCTTCATAGGTATTTTTCATTTTTGATTTCGTTATGATGTTTTAACAGTATTGAGATATAATCAACATAAATTGTCAATATTTTAAAATTTTCAAAAAGAGTTGATTTAAAAAGCAGTTTGAGAAAAAGAAGCAACATATTGTAATAACTGCCGGAATGATCAACCTGCGCAACATCATTATTATCTTGATTGTTTGTTATCTTTGTTATCTTTGCTATAGTTGTAATCTTTGGATTGTGAAAATATCTGGTATATCAGCGAATGAATAGTCAGATTTACACTCTGGTTTCCAGTAGAGAAAGCGAAGTCGTAAATGTGATTTACGTAGCAGTTACATGGAATAGTTGGATGTTTCTATTACTGTTGGTATTCAAAAAAACGTTCAACGAAGTTTGCGTTTGAAGCGGTTGTGTTCACCTGTTGGAAATCTTGAACCTACGGAATAACGACCACTTGACGATCGTTGGAAACTACAACATTGGTGTTGGAAATATAGAAATCTTTGAAGTGTTATAACATTGGTGTTGGTAATTACAAGAGTCGAGGGTTACAGCAATATAATAATAATAATTTTGAAAAGTTTTATCTTCATTAAACTGCGCTGTTTTTTAATAATCATTCTCCAGATGTCTGGAAAAACGTAGAACGAAACTGTTTTTATTATTCTTAATATTTTATTAATCGCTAATCATATCCGGTTCCTAATAAAAACCTCAATCAACATGCCAATTACATATCAATCATGTTGCTGTCACATGGTAAGATCACGCTTGTATAATAAAATCAGAGGATGGATCCACCATCTGCTGCTACATTTTCATTTTATGGATACTTCAATGAAATAATAACGCACAACATTTAACAACGGTGCTGAATGGTGAATCAGGAAATAGTGGGAATAAGAGGGTCTGATGAAAAAGAAGAAGTGATTAACTTACACGAATCTATGAAATATAGATGAAGTTAATGAAATTAAGTGGATACGGAAACGATCACCATCAATTCACGTCAGAAGTTTATGAAATTTTCATAAGAGGGGAGGAGTCATAGAAATTTTGAATAAAAATTCTCACAAAGGAGCGTTCGACGTAGCATGCATAGATTAATTGTTGTTCGTTTGATCTCGATGGCTGGCCGACATCATTCAAGCAGTCATTCATGTAGGTGCAACCGACTTACTGATCGTCTGTTTGCCTCCTAGTACGTCTGACTGCTTGTATGTCTGACTGCTTGTATGTCTGTCTGGTTGTATGTCTGTCTGCTTGCTGTGTTTTGCTTGATTGCCTGTGTTATTGATTCTCTGTCGCCCTGCTTATCCGTTTGTCTGTCTGTCTGTCTGTCTGGGATGTTTGCAACTTCCACGTGATAGTTCATGTTTACGCCTGCACACTCAAGTAGGAAAGGTGATTCATAAAACGTTAAATAGGTTCTGCTGACAACACTATATATATATATAGATATATATATATATATATATATATATATATATAGTGTAAAAATGTATGTATATATATATATATATATATATATATGTATCTCAATTATATTTATAGTTATTATATAACATATATCGATATATACGTACATGCATACATATATACATATATATAACGCGAATTTTTATACAGGAATCCATAAAAAGTGTGATTACAAAATTACAGTCAACAATATCAACATTTAAACAAATATTCCACTTTAACACCGAGTGAGTGTTTGGTATTTGAAAAAAACAGATGAACGACATTTAAACAAAATTTTTGGCCCGTGGGGGGATCGAACCCACGACCTTCGCGTTATTAGCACGACGCTCTAACCAACTGAGCTAACGGGCCTCACAATCACTTCAGATGCAAACATAAGTTTAAAATTTCTTGTTATATCTTGTGTTGGACATAGAATTAATTTTAAATGATTTCATTTGGCTTTTGCAAATATTTATACATATGTTTCTGGGATGCATACGTTTACATTGTTTTTTTATACGCGTGTATGTGTGTGTGTGTGTGTGTATTTGCACGCACAGGCAGACATGTGATTAATAATGATGACTAGAGGCGTGCGTTCGTAATCTTCATTTTCAATCTCTCCCACATACAATTCAATAACAAGACGATTAAATGCTCGCTATCTACGAGCTGGATTGTACGCTAGAAATGTTTTTGTATTTTTTATGGTAGGTATTCATCAATTTTGTATAATTGTTGGTTTTGTGTGGATGTTTATGAATACTGTTTTTTGTATGAATGTGTGTTTACATTTTATACTGATAAATGTTGGTGTTTCATGCAAATGTCTTTTTGCATCTACTATAAATCTACGTTGCTGGCTTGCAAATTATTAAAATTGTGCGGTGTAGGTAACTTTTTAATTTTCGTTCGCTGAAGAATTTCGGTACGATTATATGTTCGCTTTCCATCTTCATCTTACCCATTCACTTATTTCAATTTTTACATCCAAGTTCAGTAGTTTTATACGTTCGTTCGTTTTATATGTTGTAGATAGCAAAGTACAATGTCATACAAATGTTGAAAAATATTTATTCAGTTGTTTCAAACTTGTATCTCCTAATGACCATAGTTATTTTGGTGGATGTGAAGGAAGCTTCGTATGATGTACCGTGTAGACATCTGTCTTCATACACGATTCCATCTTGATGCGCGCTTGAGATATTCTTTTTATTTAATAAACGGCCACCTATCTATTTGCTTGAGTTAATAAAAATGGTTTGATGTGTTGGAAAATTGTGGAGTGTTTGTTGGATTATTGTCGTGTTGTTGTACTGA